TTAATTACATGCACTAACCGTTCTAAACTTACACAGCACTATGAAGGTTGAATTTCTGTGATACACGTGTCCTCATGCATGCGTGTGAGCTGTCGACGCTCACAACCACTGAACGGATCATCTCGTAATCCACATAAATATATACTAAAGTTAACTGTTATGCGTTCCCGTTTAATTAAATAATTACCACAATCGAGTTCAGTTCATACTGCATTAATCCATAACTAAAATAATCGACATGGTATGGTTTATAATAATAATAACTGCACACATTTTGCACACGACCGCATGGTCCCAAACTAGGCAGAGCCTCTCCTATGGTAACCACTACTGTTTTATTTTTAATTATATTTTATTATATATTTCTCAATATATAATAAATTGTAGAAAAATACACCGAGACACAAGACAGAGACAGATCAAACAGACAGTTTAAAATATAATCGTCCTCATCACGCAACTATTTCGTCATAGTGGTAGAATAGTATCGGATCTGACATTTATTGAACTTTACAGGGCAGCCATTTCAAATAATAATGTTAGTTTTTTTTACATACATTTTTTTAGTCTAAATATGTAATTATGAAAATTGGCATAAAAGTAGAAATAGGGTTTGTTTTAAAATGCAATAAAAATAACAACTAATAATTACACAATTTTCTAGAGAAATCACATGCTTCATTTTACTTTGAATGCCTATCAAACAAACACTGAATAATTTAAAATCTAAAATATACATATAATTTTTTCTTGAATGTAGTAATAATATTTAGATAATGTAGTATCCAAATATGGTAAAACCTGAATTTCGTATTTTTTTCAAAACCGACTTTATTCTACGATCATGACGATTTGTGCCGGGTATTACAGAGTTACCACTTTCAGAGGCCAAATCAATAAAACGCGCACTTAAAATTACTTGTTTATTCTTGTACGATCGCTAGTCTTAAATGTGTCGTTTCACAATTACGTTCTCTATTAAAATGTCTACAACGGTTCTTGAAACTAGTCTCTTTAAATTCCAAATAAATTATGTCATAAGTCTTAAATATAGCTTTATATTCAAATAAACATATACATAAATGAATTTAACATAACTTTAAACGACTTTTGTCACTTAAATTACCCTTATTTAATACTGGCTTATGCCCGCAGCTCCGTTCGCAAATATGTCTGTTATCGCGGTAAAAAGTAGCCTATGTTACTCGCTGATGACGTATCTTGCTATGGGTAAAGTAATTATTGCAATCGGTTCAGTGCATTAGGCGTGAACGCATAACAAATAAACTCACTTTCACATTTATAATATTAGTATGGATGAAACAAACAATATTATTTTACCAACCGATAGCAGATGGCACTGCAATCACATTTCAATGGAAACCAAGTTTTATTTAATACATGAAACTAATTGAATAAATAATAATAATTCTAATAGGCTTAAATTATTTGAATTTTTTTAAATGAGTATTATAAGTATTAAATAATAAGTTAGATATCAAATAGTTTCAAACAATAAAAATAGTGTCTATTGCAACTTGGTAAATATTACAGGTAATTAACCTATTTATTTCTAATCAAATTAGGTAAATATAAATATTTGGATTTTTTTTAAGCTTCATCCACGCCTACGTACACATTTATATCATGCCTAAATTAATATTAAGATAAATAAAAATTAAAAACAAATATAAAGTTAGAAAGAAAATAACTAGCAGGTTATGAAAAAAAGTTTACTAGGATGTAATTTAACCAGAGACCTAATTTCAGTTTACTGTTTGTTTATTTAATTAATTAAATTAAGAAAAAAAACAATTTAAAAGACCCCCGACACACATCTTGGACTAGAAATTTGTCATAGTGTATAGTATTCTACTTACTACCCCCTTTCATTTGATACCCATACTGAGGGAGTTGTGAAAAAATATGTATTCCGCCATTTTGTGGCGGCGGCCATCTTAAGCCGTTTTCATCAAACATAGCTAAGAACAATCCCGACTAATTCACCTTTCAAACAAAAAAAAAACAGTATCAAAATCTGTTCATCCGCGAGGGAGCTACGATACCACAGACAGACACACACACAGACACGTCGAACTTATACCACCCCGTTGTGTTTGCGTCGGGACTTAATAAATATCTTAATATTGGTTTAAAATAAAGTAAAAAATTGTTGATAAAGATATTTATTTTTCGTAATTATAGAATACTAGCTTTTGTTTGCGTGTATGTTGTTTATCGCGGTGAAAGCATTTGTGAGCATTGTTTGTTTATACTCAAAACCTACAAGACGCCACAAAGGTTATGGTTCAATTAAACAGTGAAAAAGTTGTATTTGGCATCGTTAGCAATAAAGGATAAAATAAAATGGCAAGGGAGTTGTCCGTTTCAATGCATTAATGAAACTTTTAACTCAACACTTGAAGTTAAAACCACACTCGAGTCTAAACGAGGTTAAGACTTACATGGAATTAATGAAGGTATAAGAAAAACATTCTCAAGTGCTGCTGATAACTCATGTAATACTTGTCTCATGTTTCGGTTTGGTTTACTGCTTATTTCGTTTAATTTCTACGTGGTGTTGTAAAACCTTTATCACCACTACTCCTAAAGCAAAGTGTAGTAAGCAAGTCCCTACTTTAAGATTTGAATTCTGATGTGTTTTTCTGAATCAATAGCATCTTCAAATAATAAATCTAAAAATAATGTTGTATACTTTTTGTGGCAAGACACCTTTTTTTTTTCAATGCGGAAATCCCCTCGGATACCACCTGTCGGTGGCATGTCGGACTCGAACCGACTAAAACCGCACGCCGTCTCGGGTACTAATAGCCGGGGAACCAGGTATACCCTAGAAAGGAAGTCCCTGGTGCCCCGACATACCTCGGGTCATCTACAGACGAGTAGACGACCCCCCCCCCGTGTGGGAACCCCATGTTCCCTGTGCTCCCTGGAAGCGAGCGCGCTTCGCAACGCGCTCGCCGCCACCCCGGCCTGCTTCTGCTAGGGTGACAGATGGCCTTACCTGTCACCCCCAGACCTGCGCTTATGGAGGACGGAGGTCGTTCTGCGACCTCCGGCGCCTGAGTCGCCTGCGGTACCTGGCCCGTTCCCGGGCCTGGCGGGCCGGGAGAGTCCTAAACCTCTCCCGGTCCCGCTCCGCCGTCTCCTTCGCGAGCATAACTTGCTCGCAGAAGGAGACGGCAGAGTTCCACATACTCTCGCTCCGCACGATAGCCGCAATCAGGCTATCGAGCGAGAGAACTCCCACTCCGATGGCCGCCACGAGGTCTCGCCTCTGCTCAACCCACGCCGGGCACTCTGCCAGCGTGTGGAGAGCCGTGTCCACGGTCTGGCCATCGCAGTGGTGGCACTCAGGCGTTGGCTCCTTGCGGATCATACACAGGTGATCCCCGAAACATCCCTTCCCAGTGATCACCTGCGTCAATCGGTAAGAGAGGGTCCCGTGACGCCTCTCGAGCCAATCCTCCATAACGGGTCTTACCGCCGCGATGACGGCGTGCCCGGCGCTCGGTTGCCCGAGTCGTTCCCTCCACTCCCCTATGATGACCTGGCGGAGTTGGGATTTCCGGTCATCGATTTCTGGAATCTCGGGGCATCGACCCAACTCCTGCGCCTCCTTGCGCCACTGATACAGAGCCGCAAGGGCTCTCGCCTCCAGGTCCCACGGTGAGTGACAAGACACCTATCATTTGCAGAAGCAACAAATATTTATAACTTCGGTTACATAAAAATGTCTGTTTTAGCGATGAGGAATCAAGAAAACTAAAACTAAAACTCCTGTAATAAGTGGATGTAAATAAAGATTATCGTATTAGAAAGTGGTATTTCGTTTTCGTCCGTCATTGCAAAGACACCGTGTGGTGTCGTAAGAGCCGACTAAGGGAGCAAACTACGCAGGTTAACAACTTATAGGGTAACCCATTTTTTTTATACCAACCCGTCTATCTAGCGTGGTATATTTGGCCCAAACCTCCTTTGTGAGGAGAGGCCTATGTCTAACAGTGGACTATTAAAGGCTGTTCATGACCCAAATATTAATACAATTATTTATAAAATAGTTATTTTTGTACCGCTAGATATTATTTGTCACTTTGTTGGCAATCACTTATCCGAATCCACAGCATAAAAGCAGTGGTGTGGCCACAAAGCTGAACTGATACTGGTAAATAATTAAACGTGTGTAAAATAAGACGTACGCAATAACCTTTAGAAGTAAGAGCGGTTTCGCACTACATCACGTACATTTATGTAGATTTGCCCACTTCGAATTTTAGACTTAATTTTTCTTCCATGAGCATACAAAAATAAGAAAACGAGATGACCTTAGTTTTTGTACGTAAACATGACGTAATTTTCATTGAATTGTTTATCTGTTATTTGCAAACTCAGCTTATAAATTCAATACACTTTCACTTTTCAAATTGCCTATTGAAAAATTTGATTGAATCATTTTAAATGAAGAATAAAAAATACACACTTTAAAAAGAACTATATTTAAGTTATGAATAAACTGAAAAAAAGCAATAATTTTATAGAAAACGTTATTGTAAAGTGCAAAAAAATTGAGATTTTTTGCACTATCTTCCTCCAATGCTTTCTACTCGTACCGTCTTATATCTCATCATTCATAAAAATCCCTATTATTTGTTAGGAATTCTTTCAATATGGCGTTTTATAGGTGTAGTCAAACATATAAATCTTTAAAAATTCTAGGACTTCCTATAAGTTCTCCGATAAGACTACCTTGTAGCAAAAATAATCAATCGCCACCAGCCTTTAGCACGTAAGGCAAATCGCTGGCATTGGATTATATATACTAGCAACTTGCCTCCCCTGTGTAGGAAATGGTGACATATTCGATTTCCTCCTAGCCACTCCTCCATTTTAAAATGAAACTCAATTAAAAAGAATTTGAAAGATTATAAATTTTTTACTCTATTTTATTTTATTATTTAAAATCATGTTTACTATTGCAGTTTCATCTATTCGACGTGGAAATGGGGAGCAGCCCGACACCGGAGTCCGAAGGCGACATCGTGCAAATATCGGAACTGACACAAAACAACGTGGAAATATCCGTTGTGCCAACCAAGGAAGGATCCAATTTAAACTCTCCGGAAGAACACAACTGGACTGAAATATCTTCAGCATTACTCAAAGACAATATTGTTAGAACTGAGAACAACTTGACATTGCCGATAATTTTAGTTAACGATAAACCCCCAGAAGATTTAGATCAAAAATGGTTGAAAGTTGTCGAAGTCCCACATAGTGAAAGATTAAAATGTTTTTATAGGAGAAGGAAATTTAAACGGAGATATTGCAGAAGTCGTAGGAATGCGGCATTCAAAAGATCATATTCTATTGGATGAAATAAAAGAAAATAAATACATATTTTGTATTCTAAGACAGAGTGAATGTTTGTATTGTGTTACAATTAGTACTTATTTTACTGTGATTTAATTATTTTAGGTATGAAAATTAGTAGACGACTCACAAAATTGAAATTAATATATGAGTCTTTGTGAAATACTAAAAAAGGGAAATTTTACAAATCCTTTTAATGTTTAATATTGTGTTTCTCTATATTTATATATCTTATAAAATATAGTAAAAAACATATGAAATCAAATTCAATTAAATTGTATTACAAACTGTCACAAGTTTTGTGCAATTTAAAACAAGACGTGTTGTTTTCGCAGATGTGTTGTGCTAAAATAACTTTTGGTGTTCTAATGTCTCCATCGATTAACGTCTGTTGTGGTTAGTTTCTAGTTTGCTATTATTGATGACCGAGATGTATACAAGTGCATTGTAGTAATGTGTTAGTTTCAAGAACGTACTAAGATTCGTAATTAGTTTTAAGTAATGTGTTACTTATTAATCTAGCGTGTGTAAACATTCCCATAATATTTGGTTTCGTGGTTTTGAGTTAAGTGGTTACTTTCATGAAACTGTTGTTGTATTTGTTGTATTTCGACCTATTACAGTTTGGAATTAAGGGTCATAAGTTTAACTCGAAAGTATTCTTAGAATTACACATTATGTCTAATTAAAATTTGTCAACAGTCAATAAGGGGTTTTAATAAAATGATCCCAACAGATTAACGACTTTGTATTATATGTTGATATAAATATGAATTTGACGAAGTATTAATATATCTCTTGGAATTCCAACTGTTCTTTTGGTAACTAGCTGATACTAGCTTAAGAAGCGGTGGAAAGGATGTGAGAGAGGAATCGTTGTTTTTTCGGCATCGTAAGCAATAAACTTTTCTCTCATGGCGAATACAGAGCACACGCTGGGAAGTGCAGAACGCACTCCGGCCTTCGTAAGTGAAGGGCTTAAGACAAAAGAGGAAAGACGAGGTTCCGAGAGCGAGGCAACCCGTAGTCCTTAATATGGCCGCCAGCTCAACAAGCGCCAAAGTTTGCAGAGGTTACTTTAGACATATCAGGGTAAGCATATTAGGGTAGGGTTTTATTCAGTTCGGTTCATATGTGACCGGAGTAATACAACGGCTTCACAGAAAATCGGTTTTAAACAATTCTTTCGTTTCTTTTTAATGAGTGAGTGAGGTTACCCAACTCCCTACTTTCCCCACCTTTGGGGGAGAGAAGCACTCAAAGAGTGTCAACGCATTTGTGTCTTTGAGTTGTAGATGACTTTGGGCGGGATTGTCATTTACCATCAGGTAATCCGCCTGCTTATTTGCACCACCATCTACAAAAATACGAAGGTTCACCGTTGTGAACAATGAAAAAAGAGAGTTTAATTTGGATGGTAATAAATTAGGCTGGTAAAATTTGTGCAATTAAGTAAGAAAAATAGAAATTGGTTGTCACTGTTTTTCTCTTATCGTTTCATGGACATCATGGATTCATCATAAGTTATGGCTCATTGGAGGCCCGTAAACACCGTGATATTAGCCTTCGTTCGAAATTGCTCTCTGTGTAGTAATGGTCCAATAACAAAGAAAGCTCTTTAGGAGTAGGATAGAGTAGGATTTAATGCACGAGCGTTGCCATGCATAATGACGAATTCAACACCAACTCCTTGTGAAAATGAAATGACATGAAGTCGGATTACATGCTCAACGTAACAGGCTGCAGTTACAGTACCCTCGTCCAAAATTATCAGTTCCGTTTGGAAATACCATAATACTTGAGTCCCCGAAACGGTCAGTATCGTGGATGCATGGCTCAAAAACCGTTTGCCTTATTTTCTCCACAAACACTCACATTTATCAACACTTGAAAACTTGATCCTAGATAGGTTTCTAAGCACAGCACAGTCCTGCAACTATCCATAGTGCAGTGAAAAAGTTAACAAACGTATCAAAACAGTCAAAGAAAGTAAATAAATGTATTTAAAACGTGTACCATAACTATAAATACAGTGTATAGTAATGTAAAATCCATATGGAATACAATAATTTAATACTAAAACCAAAAAAAAGAACCTTACAGAAGTAAACCAGTAAAGAAATATTAAGATTACTCTTTTAACATATTCGACCCTGGTTCTTACGCAAATTACTGTGGAGTTTGTTGTTGTAAGTTAAATATTTCACTAAGTTTATGTCTTGGTGTGATATGAGTCACAGCTGCTACGCAACGAACTCTTGTGTTAGTCAGTGGTACTTAGGTGGTAGATATGATTACATTGTAACACTTTGTTATATATAAGCACACATCGTGAACTAATTATTTTATAAGTAAGTTAGTAAGTACGAGAGAGCCCTAATACTTTATAGTGATCATAGTGCTGTAGTCATATCCATACTTATATTTCTTGTGAAAGTAAGTTAGTTAGTTTGCTTGTTTGTTAAGCTTTCACGCATAAACCACTCAACCGATTATGAAAAGTCTTTCACCTATGGAAAGCCACATTATCAGTGAGTAACATAAACTATTTTTTACCCTAATAACCGACATACACCCGGGCAGAGCCGCGCGCAAAAGCTAGTTCTAGTACTGATGTCAATCGTCTACTAGACATACGTAGACTTGCTCGAACTTGAGTTCCTAATTTAAGGTGTAAACGAGCATACAGAACACCTGATGGCAAGTGACTACTGTCGTCCATGGACACCTGCAACACAAAAGTCACAGAGGTGAGCTTAAATGGTGGCAACGCAAAATCAGGCAAGATAAAGGCGAGGGCTCCGGTTATCACTCGCTGAAAAGCAACGAAACTGTAGACATGGAAATTATTTATACTTTTAAATCATAATCGTGTACGCTTGACGACTTGTATCAAGCAAGGCTAAACGCCAATCGCGTTGCCGAGCACTGGGCCAAAACCGTGTAGTGTTGCCATCGACACGATAAGAAGAAAACTGTTTACGTATTAGCATTGGTCAAGTTAGTTTTATATAAAATCTGTAAGAATTTACGCCATTATTATATAATTAATATTATTGTTTAAGTAAAAAGACCTAAAGTGCGTAGTTAGATCCCTACTGTCATTTATCCTAATTATGTAGCTTCAAACTTCTTACATTTTATTAAAATATTAATTTATACTTTAAATGTTTTCAGATTTTGTTATGGCTAATTTATTCTACTTTGGCTTATAAAGTTTAAATATAAAAGTATCAAACTTCTATAATTTCATAATGTAAATGTACTAAAAATTTAACATTTTCTCTCTCAAATATTAAAACCTTACTTATAATTATCTTCTCAGTCTAAGTCTAGTAGACTAGTAGTATGCATCTAACGTATATCGATGGTGAATTATGCACAGCATAATGCATCATAGTACATAGACAGAGTACGTACACAGAGTAATATATAGCGAGTAAAAGCTGCCATCTTTGTCAACTTTCAAAGTTAAATAAAGATCTATTACACGTTTTTTTAGTTATTTTTAAAATTACGAACGACGCAAAGACTGCACTCTCCAATAATTAAAGTGAATTATATAGGTCCTTTACTATGCAATGGAAATTTATATGACTGACTGACAGTGACTAAAAGCGATGGTTTGATGGTTGTCTCAACATTATTTCATATAGATAGGAAATAACGTAAAAAGGTAAAAAATGGTGATAAAAAAGATAAACCTACTAAACGGGTGATGTACTATATCATTTAAGACTAAAGTCATTTAAAAGTAAGCCAAAAGAGAACGACATTAACCTAAAAAATATGATGCATAATTAGTTTATTTTTTGTTTACATAATGACTTTGAAATGTTTATACTCGAGTATTTTTTCATAAGTGAGGTTAAATGAGAAGTACTAAAAAAATATTTCATAGTTATTCTTTCACTAAACTTCATATCTAGACAACAAATATCTATATAGTCTATCAGGTAGAATAACACAATTTCTCGATTCTTCGATCTTTGAACGCAAAGAAGAGTTGAACAATTGAGCATAAGTGAAACTGAAACTATAATGTTTTTGGCAACACATATCTATTGTCTATTCATCCCCTATTACACGTCTTTGATATCAGATATATCAAAGAGTGGAAACACCTTTGCCTAGTCACTAATTTTATTTTAAGATCCAATATCAAAGCGTTTGAAAAGACAAGGAGGCAAGCCACTTAATCATATAATATATATATAAATATATATGTCAACATTTATATAGTTTAACTTTAACTTTAATTCTAATATTACTGTCATATAACACAGCGTTTACTAGATCTACACTAGGCATGACCTGTTTACAAGACATGTAGAACAGGATTAATCGTGATCAGATTCATATTTTTTTTGTAAACATTTCGTGTGCTTGACATTATACGAGTATATGCTAAATATCCAGGTTTGTTTCCACTTCCTGAAGAGACTTTACACAAGGTGGCCTTAATGCCGCACGTAATATGGTCTTCAAACGATATTCTTTTAAAGTGAGAATATGTCTATAGTTTATGTCTAGACTATTTATCTGTGTATTATCGAATGCCCAACTAAGGCATTCGATAACTTCATCCACAAAAAGCAACAAAGAATATTTTAAATTGTCTATGTCTTATCTACTCGTATTATAAAAAATCTAACACAAAAAAATTGTTTAACACTGATTTTCTCTGTGGCGGTGTTTTCACTTGGATAAAGCCGGTCCACATGCCCTTGTTCCCAATAAAAGGGTATTGTAATATGTAGTAAAAAATACATTGAAATTAGATACGATACAAAATGATGAGTTGATTTCTAAAATAAATTTACATCTTTCACCGAGATTGAATTTGAATTTTAATAACTACTTTAAATATTCGAGTTTAAATATCGTCTTAAAATGTACCGATTATTTAGATTGTTTCTTGTTTTAATTTAGCGCTTTTGTTTGTGTATGATTATGTGGTCATGAGAGAAATTTGTTAGGTGTTCTCAAAAGCCGCATCAAGTAG